CCCGCCGGCCGGCCGGCGCCGGGGGTGCGTTAGGATTGGCCAGGCGCGCCGCGGGGCATTGTGGGGATTGTAGTCCTCCGCCGCGCGGAGGAGGCGTGGTTCCAGCGGCGCCCGGGAGGCCGGTCCCGAAGCGCGCTGAATGAGCGTGCGGTCTGATGGAACCGTCCAGCGGGAGGAGTTGCTTCTGCAAGGATGCCGCTTCCTCTGCCCCAAAGCAAGCTGCGGGTCGCGATCGGAGTTGCTTCTGCAAGGATGCCGCTTCCTTCCCTGCCTCAAAAATAAAAGGTGGTGGGATGTCGCGGCAGTACCATGTCCCTCCACCTGCCCAAAGGCCCTTGCGCTAGTAGCAATGTCCGCGCTAGAAAATTAGAGGTACCTGGGGCTGCTGCTTGGTGCTGAAGCGAACTGGCACAGAATAGCCTATGAAACCGCCACACGTCCAAGCCGGTTCTTGGCGTTCGTCCCATGCTGACTCTGGAAGTGTGGGTGGGTATCGTCTGGGAGAGAGCTAGCTGGCCTGGGCCAAAACCGAACCAGGGACTGCTCTAACAATTTTAGAATTAGAAGACAATGATAACAACTTAATAACATAGAGATGGTTGAGTTCTAGGGTCCAAGAGCATTTCCCAGTAACGTTTAGTTTGCTAGCAGGGATTTTACCAAAATGTTGTATTAACATTTATCAGTCTCACAGAGGTGACTCCATCAGAGGGAGAATAGACATTAAGGGCACCTATAATATTTCATTGCCAGTCCTGGAGTCTCATAGCAGATCAAATGCTTCTGCAAAAGCCATGTTCAATTCTGTCTGCCTTGGGTCTTCGGCTTGAGACGCAGAGGCTGGAGCAGTAGATGTGGCGGTGCCAGGGAAGGCTCCCAGCACAGGAATGCAACATTTCTGCTGTTACACTGCGACAGCAGCCTGTGGCAGAGTTTTGGCCCAAGGCTGGGGGCTGGTTAGAGCTCTCCCACAGCTCATGAACTCCCGCTAGGCAGTTTGGAAGCAGCCATCGTGTTCTGGAGAGTTAGCATGCACGTGGACTTTTCCACGCCAGCTGGCCTTTGTGCCGATGAAATGTTCTGGGAAAGTTTAAAGTATTAGTGTAAGTGGAGCGAAAGACTATGTCAGAATGGCATGCTGAGACCTGCCCTCATGGTGCCTTCCAGAACAGATTTCATTCTTAAGTATTTCAGCAGGTTCTGTGGCTCTGGATCAAGTTGGATTGTGTGTTTGAGCGTAGCGTAGTTGTTAGTACATGGCCAAGCATGTCTTGATAACCAGCCTGCATGTTGCAAGCAGAAGTGATGGGGTGGGGGGCTGGGGGAGCGTTACAAAAGTCATTATGGTGGTGGCTGCTCTGATAGCTACTCTGGAGTCTAAACGTACCAGTAAGCTGCCAGTCAGACCTGCTGAACACTTGCTTCTAGGACCAACTTCCACTGAGTAGTATTAGCTCAGAGGTAGCCCGTTTGAGGTAACCAAATTTAGTGGACTTCAGGACCGAGGGGGTCTGTCCCATCCCAGTCTGGTAGAAGGGAGGCTGCTTGCAGAACATATGCGTACGTCCACTCACTCACCTCACAAGCACACTCACTGGTCTCCTAAGTATTAGCATGCACCCGAAGTCCATCCAACATCTATACCCAGAGACCCAGGCACCAGCTCTGACGCTGGGTTTTCCCAGATGCTGCTCTCTTCCTGTTGTCCACTTTGACGTGTGCTACTGGTTCACATATGCACATAACGTGGGTCGTTCCAATATCTGGTTTGTCCGGTAGCTGGCACCCAGGCTGGACCTCTGCAGTTGTTGGCACCCAGACCCTTGGGTCCCTTAGACCTGCCAACTTAGTTTTCAATCCTTAAGCCAAAACCTGTTTTCAGCCATTATCTTCATGTCATGTGTCCAGATCCCGCCTTTACTAATCACAGACCTTGACAAACCCACCTAAGGCAAAATGAACCCATTCAGGGAGTCAGGAGTGGCCACTGAGGTTCACTCACTCAAAATCCTTTTCATCCTAGCCCTGGGAGACTTGCTAGTGGAAATGTGCAGAGAGACAGTTAAAAGGTAACTGAATTTTGATCAAGAGCAATTTAAGTTAAAAAAAATTGTTTGAGAAAAAAAAGAAAAAAGGCAGTAATAGAGTTCAGTGCAGATTTAGGAAGAAGATAGGGACAATGGGGATAGAAGAACATGGATTAAGAGAAGTTCAGGATCAGGACTAGGGGCCAGCATGCAGGTGAGTAGAGTCCAGGGACACAACAGTCTGTGGAGGAGATCAGAAACAAGCTTGGCTGATAATGAGCATGTCTGTCTTGAGTCAAGAGCTAGCGTGTTTGGGGAAATGATTAAGAAACCCACGAGGAAACCCATGAACCTTTCGTCATGTTTTTTTGTGGCTGGTCTGGACGTGATAACCATTTGCAGTAGTAACCTCCCCTTAACTGTCACATGTTGGTGCTACCCCCAGTCTGTTCACATTGCTGCAGTCTGTTCTGAGGCTGACTTACAGCTGAAGAAACGTATCAGATTTTTCTGGAAGTATCCTTACCATCTCTCCTCTGACTGTCTGTCACACTTCTCAGGCAGTTTAAGGGCTGTATAGGTACCACATCTAAACACATTGGATTCACTGAGAGACCTCTTCTGTCTTTGTCTTTACCACAGAAAACTCTTTCTCTCTTCATTCTTGGCTCTTCACTCCGTTGTGAGACTCATGGCTACACCAAAGGGTACCTTAACCAGGCCACACCATTGCATCTGCTTGTGACAGAGATGGCTTTTGGCATCCTTAACCTGATGTAAGAGCCATAACCAGTTTGAGGTGTACTTCCGTATGCTCTGCTCATAGTAAGTCATATCTTTGGGAGGTGTTGGAACCATGCCCACCCTAATGACCTTGCAGCCAAGGACTATGAGAAAGGGACAGTGGTTGCCAACAAGATGCCAAAATAAGAGAACCAGGAAATGCCCTGTTAGAGGAACAGATTCATGCTGTAAGAAATCCTCCTGGTGGGAGGTAAAGAATCTGCTGTTCAGCATCTGGCAGTGGGGACTCTGGCAGTCATCTCTGATACACCTACTACTTCAGAAGACATGGTGTTGGAGAGGGCACTGCCTCAAGGATCCTGCCTGGGTTCCTCGGTGGTCAATCCAGCCTTCAGCGCAAGGAGTGCTGTGCACAGGAGCTCACAGGTGGTAGCGATCAGAAGCTGCTCATTTAGGCAGGGATGACATGCGTTCAGATGTTGTTGGTCTCAGATATTACTGAGCAGGGTTACTGAAAGTTTTTTTTTCTCCTAAGACATTGACCTGCTTCACTGCTTCCTCTACCCGTCGTTTGCACTCGAGGAGATGGGTGTGTTCTGTTTCGCAGTACTGCATGCCAGTGGAGGTTACAGGGTCTGGCAGGGGAGCCTAAGGGGGGTACCTGAGGATTCTCCTCGGGATGTAGGAGCCCTCTGATTCCCGCGTCCTTAGAACAGATCACAGTCCAGGAACACAGGAGGACACATGTTGGAACACATGCCATGATGACCATCTCCACATCTTCATCTGAAATACTTTGTTTCCTCTAGATGGTTGTTTCACTATGCCTGACATGCTAGCCTGGAAACTGAAGGGATGTCTTGGAGGCGTGAAGGAACTGGGGAACATGGGTTTATTATGTCTTGGTAGCTGGTGGGAGGTATCCGACACACTCCAAGGTTATGTTCTCCTGTAAAAAAAAAAAAAAAAAAATAGTCAAGTCACCTTCAGGATCTTATTTCCAACATTTTTGTCCATGGGGACTGGTAGCAGTAAGAGACATTCCCATTTGTCTTACCTGGACTCTTCACTGTGATGTGGTGCACGAACCTGGATGCTAAGGGAACAAGGACTGGCTTTGCCTGACGAAGTCCTGTTTCTGCATGGAATTCGATCTGTGTTATCATTAATCCTCTTCCAGGTTTTGGCTGGGATGACAGTTTCTTTTTCATGAGTCTGTCTTCCAGTGTTATAAACAGGCCGATAGACAAGACAGTCCAGAACCATAGGACTCTTCTGTGTTTCCCCTATTGAAAAATGTTATATGTTGTTGTAACTGTGACTGGCTTAGGGTTATGAGGTGCTAGGGCATAAATTCATGGTATTCTCATAAGCATGAGAAGCAAGGGGTTTTGTTTGTTTTTTGTTTTCTTTTGTTTTGTGGACTGGAATGCTATTAAGAGACAAATTCTGGTCTGTGTCTAGAAAACTAGAAAACCCTTTCCCTCAGCTCTCATCCCATTTCAGAGAATTTTCTTGAAAATTACTAGTTTGGTCCACTAGCCAAGCTGTGCCTTGGAGCAGAAGACAATAATTGTAATGGGCAGAGACTACTTGGCAAGCCGAGTCTCCCCAAACATCCAGATTAGTCTGGAAGGCACTTGCATGCACAAAGGAGGCTCCACTCGCCCAACATGCTGCCAGCTGGATATGCAGAGGAGCAGCTGTCAAGGCTGGGACAGTTGCCTGACAATTAAAAGGCGGTGTATAATCTGAACAAACATCTAAGGGCATTTTGCTCAACTAACTTAGGAGAAGTGATTGTGGACCTTAACATCAGCTCCTGGACTTGAATGTCAATTTGAATTCTATGACTAAGAATGTAAATTCTGCTATATAAATTTAATATGTGAACTCTATTTCTCTTCACGCATGCCTTAGCACTGTCAGGACTGACACTGCAAGAGGTAGTCTTCTAGTACTATGTGTGTACAGATCAAAAAAGACGTAAGAACTGGAAGCGCCTAACTATACCCTGGCCAGTAGGTTTCATTTTTGCTGTAGGTGGATGGTTGATTGAAATAAAGGTAAACGTAATAGACCAGATGATTTGGTTTCCGATTTATTCGCTGATTTACACGCTTACCCTGTCAGGCATGAGACACTCACCTTTGGAGTCCCACAGGGGTCAAGGATTCCATTAGCCTTTTCAGTACCAAGCCTGAATTGCTATGTTCAATGAGAGTCAAGTGCCAGCAATCTTTGCACAGCATATATCCTTCATGTTTTTCTGCACCCAACTTCTATAGCTCTAACAGGACATGGATGAAGAATGGCTGATCATGTACTGCTTCAACAAGGCAGGACCGGTGTTCCTGAAATTTGCAGCCATGCTTTTGTGGTGAAGGTACACATGCAATTTATATTCCACAGCTAAGCAATATTTTTGGATTCTTTGCTGATTCTGAGCTCTCACATAAAAACATCTGCTAATAACATTTTTCATAATCTCCATTTGGCGAGGTAACTCTATCCCATCCTGGCAGACAATGACCAGGCCTCAGTTATTCATGTCTTCCTCACCTCCTGGCTGGACTGGGAAATGTGATACATTTTGGGCACAAAGCCTTTAGCACTTACGAAATTCCAAGTACACCAGAACTCTAGAGTGCATCCCATCAACAACACATGCTGGTGTGAACACAGAAAAACCTCTCTAATGGTCTGTATTCAAGTCTTATGCAGGATCAAGGCTTTCGCCTTTGTTTTCAAAGAACTTTGTGGCTTGGATGCAGAACATTTAAAAGATTGCCTGTGTTCCTGGGAGGGAAACCACAATTAATGCAATGAAGCTTTCTGCAGTAACAGGACAGTTCATCCGGACAGAAGAGACCAAACTTTCTCAGAGGCTAACGTGAGATTCTGGAGTGAATTCCCCCAGGAACCACAGATCATCGCAAGCCTTCACCAACTTCTACTCCCACTGCAAAGCACATTCCTTTGGTTTTGTCTCTTCTGGTATAAATACACAGCAACAATAAAAATAAAACAGGACACTTGTTCCACTAGGGAGAGAAAGAGAACAAACACCACCTGACAGATGTTAGTTGTGTCATTTGGAAGGCACTCAGATACATGGATGACACTGAGATACAGGAACTTAGCATAAAAGAGCTAGAATAGACCTACAGTGTAAATTTACATGAATTCACGTTGCAACAAGCACCTCTCCCCTGGAAACTCATGTGAGGTTGCCAAACTGAGTTCACGCAAATCACAGAACAGCTGTAAATCCTAAGTGAATCTAGTCAAGAAACAAGGAGTTCCATCAACAGCATTATTTAGGGTAGATTCTCTGCCGTTACAAAGGTATGCTCTAAAGCTTCAGTCTTTGTCCCAGTCAAGATTCTTGCAGCATTTCTGACTTCTGCCCAGCTCTATGAAATCTGTTGGGACTTAAGCCTCTTTGAGACTTCTAGCTCTCTCTCAAATTTGGCTGAAAGTGGTCACTTCTGGTTCTAAATATCCGGGGGAGGGAAGAGACACAGAGACGCCGATCGCATAAACTCTGTACAGGAAACTATACTAAAACCTCTACATAGAAAAATGACAATGTTCTGTAAAGCCAGCTTTATTAGAATAGGAAAATAACATAGAAAAATAAAGGGTTCCTGTAAACACAAGATCAAATAAGCTAACATTTCACTGGAAGCTGAAACCTTGTGATAACAAACCTACTGAATACATATTTAAGAAGCAAACCACCAACAGGTAAACACTTATATGTAAACTGTGCTTTTGGTAACTTCAGAAATAACCATCAAGGACTAGCATTGCAGCATGATTTTTGTTATAAATAACCCATCAACAGTTTTTTAGAGAAAATATAACTGTTCTCTCTGTCTCTCAAAATATGCCTTAAGCTATAAAAACAGTACAAATCTTTTCCTAATATCAAAACCACAGTGTTAGATCCAGACAGGTAAAAAACCTAAGCTGCTTAAGAATGCTATTAAAATAACTCTATTAAAAACTTACCTATATTAAAAATATTTCCTTTAAAGGAAATAAACTGTTCTAGTCAGAAGTTAAATCTTTAAACATAGTGCTCACAATATACAAATGTAGACATAACTATTGGTATATTAGAGGCTGGCTGAGTTAAGAACCTTATCGTTAATGGTGCCATCCAGTCATGCAGATTTGTGGTATTTCTGAGCAATGCCATAGGGAACATGTGCAGCTATGGTGCCTAATTTCTGTGCTCCTTCGATGTGAAACATCTGGTCATCAAAGAAAATGTGAGGGCGGATTTTCACCAGGATTGGTCCTTTAGGAGCTCCTGCTAGGAAAAGTGCCTCATCAACCTCCAGACCCCAGCTACGAAGAGTCTTCAGCACTCTGGCTCCAGAGCTCGCCGCACTTCTGGCTGTGACCAGGAAGGTCCTTATGGGACAATTTAATCGTTCGTTTTTTGCATAGAACTTCTTCTGGAGTTTCCCTAGGTCTTCCAGAAAACCTTTCAAAGGACCCTGAGTATGAAATACCAGAAGCATATTTAGTATTTGTCCACAGCTCCCAAAATCATTCTTTTGCTTTCTTCCCAGATTGCCAGTCACATACAGGATTCCTTCCCTAATGCTGTGCTGCTCAGCAAATTCTCTATGTAATGTGTCCAAATGGGTCTGCACCCTCACTAGGAATTCACAAATTGGAAAAATGTTAAAACTGTAATCCTACAGGGTATGATCAGTAGGAAACTGATTCTCACCAAGGCTTACAAGATCTCTTTCAATATGAAGTTATATAATAAAATGTTCTTTAAAAACACTTAACTCTTTTTACTATGAACCATGAGCTGCAATTTTTTTTCTCTGCAAAAACCACTAAGAGACCTAATTACACAGACATCACCGAACTCTTTCCAGATTAATGACAATATTAGAATTAAACTCCGACTAAAAGAAGTAAATGATAGTTTGGGTCAAATTGCAATATATTGCACTGTCCAGTACTTTCATAAATCAAGCTTTTACTCTGAATTTATACCATTTTTAACAATAGCAGAATTGGTCTTTCAGTTTAAGCTGATGTTAAAATATTTGTATTTTTTAGACAAATGGCATAGCTCTGCTTGGGAATAAGCACAGATATTACATGTTTCAATAATCAGAATATCCCAGTGTTTGAAATTAATATTACCTACACAATCTTAAAAAAAAAATAATCAAGGAAATCAGTAGTAGCCTTTCCTTTTTCTAATGATACAATTAAAATACAACTGTCACTGTCATATATGCAGTTCTCTCAATGAAGTGGGAGAGCTGGTGAAAGGACTGCAGCGGTGGGCTCTTTTATTTCAAACATACATTTAAAAAATTATCCTTGAAACAGGAAATAAATAGGGCAGTCAGCTTCCACAAAGAAGAATACATACACACTGGGGAAACTGGAGAAGTACAGCAGCAGTGAAAATTAGCAGTTGTTTTGAAAACTCACTGATACAAAGAAGTACAAACCTGTGCAAGAGGCTTATTTTCATTCAGCTGTTCATGTTCAAAAAATGTATCTAATCCTTTCTCTTTGACAATCTGTTCTGATTCATCAGAAAAGAGAACCGCATCCCCATCGAATGCCACCCTCAACTGTGTATCCGAGTAAGCAACGTCTTTGTTGGCAGTGAACATCGTAGCTGATGCGATGCCTGAAAACGGACCAGAGAACCTCAGTTAGCACGTCCTGCAAAGTCATTCATTAAACTGTCAGCAGTTCGGTTCCAACAACTTATTTGTGGTGACCTTTATATACGGTGAGCAGAAACGATCACTAAAGCTAATTAGTAATGGCTGTTCTTTAACACAAATGCATGGAAGCTGTCCCATTGACATAACCTTAGACATGCTTCCTTCCACTTCCATATAAGAATATACAAAACCGGTCCGTCAGATGTGCTGCAAATGAGAGAAAGCAGGAAATTCCAAGGAGACTGTTGAGTCAAACTATTTGCTATTTTTTAACAAAACACAGAAGTTGTTTTTTGTAAGTCGTACCAAAGAGATGACTCTACTCAAACAGAAGTTGAATAGAGATGCGTAGGTGTGTATGGGAGTTCATTTCTTGTAGCATGGGAGAAGACAGAGAGGTGTGACAAAGGTAGAGGGTGATTAAGTTGTCATTATCAGCAGGCTGAAGGGTCAGAGAGGAACAATACAGAGAAATAACCTCATTTTATTTGATTAAGTAAAAATAAGTGATAAGTTTGCACCATACAAAGTTGTGACTTTGCATTTGATGAAGCAGCACTACTTTCTGTGAAAGACACAATATATTCATTTTTTAACAAGCTCAATGGAGAGGTAAGAAAAGAAAGTCAGTTCAAACCTGCTTCTATAGCTTCTTGCACTTTTTCAGAATCTGCTGAGAGGTACAAGTTCGTAAGGTACGCAGTCAGGTAACCAATAGGGCTTTTTCCTCCCGTCATACAGAAACGTTCAATTGTTAAGCCTAAAGTAAGAACAGCACAACAAGATGTGACTCTGCCTTGGCACTGCAAACCTGTAAAAGGAACCTGTAAAAAGGTACATTAGCCTACAGCTGACAGCAAACTTAAAAAAGAAAAATGTTCACTGTAATTTCAACAAGCTAGACAACTTAAACTGACTACAATGTTTGATCAGCCCTTCCTCCTTGAAAATTAAAAAAAAAATCCCTCTAAGACAGCAGAATAACTGCTGTGAAGGTATACGTATAGGGGGTGTAAATACCAAACAACGAAAAGTTTAAGGACCTCTCAGAAATTAAGATTCACACTTGACAAGTTAAATCTAGAGCTTTGGACCAAATTCCGTGTAACACTATCTCACTTATGCTGACACCCAAAAATAAGTATCATCCTCTGAGGAATGGGTGTCAGTATCAAAGAAGCTGCTTTTACCAAGGTCAGAACAGGAAAAATAAAATACATTCATTTTATTATGTAACAGCAGGGAGTTCTACAAGGCAGTATTAATTTTGCTTACCATAGTGATTGATGCTGTTTATGAGTCTCACTCCCACTTGGGCATGGTTATTAGTCATCAGAACAATATCAAATCGTTCTTCGTCATCAGGGTACAGCTCAAGAAGCCGGGCATTGACATGCTCCAGCGCCTGCAGGTTAAAAATGTGGAAGTCAATAGACAAGTGGAATGTGCCTCAGTTCTTAATCGCTATGGGCTTAGTAATAGGACTGTCTTGAAGGAGAATGTGAAATACCTGATAGTTTAACTTGCTGAACTTGTTTTACTCCTTTGTGCTCTGCTGCTCCCAGCAACCATTTGACTGGGTTCATTTGAAGGGAAGCAAGGAAGTTTCTTTTGCTGAGTTACAGAATTTAACTTTATCATGGAAATCCTTTTTCTTGGGGCACCATGGTCGTCCGGAATAAATCAATGCATTGCTGAACATTATCACAATCCCTATTAATCTTTTTTTTTTTTTTCCTTGTCCACTTGAAACTTGGACTTTCTTGTCCACTTGAAAATTGTTCTTGTGAAATCAAGGAGAAGGTGTAAAGGAATTTGTATGTGCAACTACTTGTTTTGTATGCACAAATGTGAATTTGGGCCACATAGTTATGCAAAGATTTACTGACACAGTTCAGGTGGTCAGGTGTCCAAGACTGTCCTTAACTAATGAGTACAAAATCATACCCTGTCAAACATGATTACCTTGGCGATTTCTAATTGCGGTAGTGAATGAGAGAGATTTTGATTCATTTGAGATCTCTTTAAAGATAATGGGCCAACATGTTATATCCACAGTTTGGCATTCTTATTTCCTTGACCTTTCATCTGCTCGTCTCTCTCTGTATCCACCTGTTCTCTCATCTTATTTAGAATCTTATCCCTTTGGAGTAAGACTTGCTTTTTGCTCTAGTTTTATACACAGACCTCTGCTTTGGGATCTTGGCCCTTGAATGGAATTCCTTGGCATTACAGCAATAAAGTCAACGATGAATCATCAAATGAATGCAAGATGGGTTGATTTGCATTGAGATGCTTTAAAAAGTCAGGCCAGTTGTTAAGAATTAAAACATGGATTTCATAATTAAATTCTGGGAATCCCACTTTAAAAAGCATGGCTATGTCATGTGGGGTTATGCTTAGGAAAACTCTAAGTGAGACCCTGGTATAAGGCCTAGGAAAAAAACCTTAGTATGTGGTCATAACCCCTTTGTACCTTTTTTCTTTTTGTACTCTTTGCTAATACTCTAGTGCACTAGCAATTTCTTAAAGTATTAGAGAATAAGGGGGAGTGGAGGAGAGGATGCCATTTTTTTGTCCAATGCGTGTACATTTTGCAGCCCAAGGAGATCCTGGCCTGTGATTAAGATTCTTAAGTGCTACAAGCATGAGATATAATACTTTTAAGTTAGTGTCTTGAAGATTTCAATAAAGGAATCCAAACAAAAATATATTATTTCTTTTTGCCTTCTTTGTCTCCAAGTAGAAAGCATCACCCAACAAACCCGCAGTTCTCTAGCCTAATGATTCCTGGGACTAAGCAATTTATGAATCTCTTAAAAACTATAAAGAATTCAAATGCAAATAGCATACTGGAAGGGAACAGAGGTCAAGGTGCATTTAGCTGGGCATAGCTAACAGCTCTGATTTTCAAAGTGTGAGGAGTTAAAGAGTCAAATCTTGCTTATATTCAAAGTGAATTTGACACTGAACTCTAACAAATCTCTTGAAAACTGACTGTGCTAGCAGGGCTGCTACCTCTAGCTGCTACAGATAGGAAAAGATGCAGTAAATTCACTAGTCAGCCGAGCCTCACTGGTGTACATGTAAGTGAATTATTTTATGACATTTTATATTATTTTATGACAATGCCTTTATGTTAAAACTGCCTTTACTATACTTGTGCTATTAATGCTATTAACAGCTATCTGTTATATTTAGAACAGCACGGGTATTGACCGAAGTAATTTTTCCACTATGTATTTCCAAAAAGTGATCAGCAATGCTGAAAATGTTTGAACTTCCTGAGACTAAAACTGAAGCAATGAAAATTTACTTTTAAAACCTGAAAGAAGTGTTCTGCCACAACTCTACTGTCAGCAAGTATGACTGTTAATTGTGATTTAATAAATTTTCTAAAACTGCTGTGGTAGAGCTTATCAAACAATTCTCCATGGACATAAAATGAACTCTGTAGACAGCATTTTTTCAAGTCAGTCTCACTAAAACCTGTGTTCCTCAAAACCATACATATTTTTAGGTTTTTTTCTTTTTTTTTTGTAATTTCACTTGCTTTCCATGCTGGAGGCTGTTTACCTTGGCCATTTCTCTTATCTTGTGCAATGAAAGCAAAATATTCCATTTCACTTCTGCTTAAACCCTGATTCCCAGCTAGGGGGTCTATTTCTTTCGCTGGTCCTCAAGAACAATTTCCAGGGTGACAATGAAAGAAAGGAAAAATTAAAGCTGACCAAAAAAAAGAAAAAAAAAAAAAGGTTCATTTCTGAATAAAGTAATTGGAATAATATTGAATCAATGCTATCTTTAATCACAGTAGTCCTATTACAAGTGAGACATAAAAATGGAATGAGGAACTAAGATGCTTTGGTTCTGGTTTTTGGGTCTTTTTTGGGGAGAGGAGGAGGTTGCAACAAACTTAACACAATTTGGGGGCCCATCTTAACTGAAACCGGTCTAAAAAGAAAAGCCGCTTCGTGCGCCCCGTCTCCAGCAGCAAATGCAGGCTGCTCCTGACCCACACCTCAGATGTGAAGCAGAGAGCCGGGGGATACAAACCGTGGCGCTGGGGGTAAAACGCCGGT